CTATAATTGATGAGCATCTACGTTAAAATATTCTTTTGAGCTTGAAAGGAGGTTTTGAAATAGTTTACATAACTTGAATATATCATATTCAAACATTCCATATTACCATCATTTCCAAATTTAGTTGTAAGCATGCTTTTGAGCTTATATCAATAAAGCCAGAAGTTTTCAAGGAAATCATTTCGCTGCTTGTTTATCTTTGCAGGTTTATGGAATTTCCTATAAGAACTCTTTTTTTAGTGCACTTTGTAAATATTTTGTATAAGACAACTGATAGTAATAATCTGTAGTCTACTTTGTTTATCATTCTTTCACTCTTTTATTACGTAACGCGATATTTATATTATCAAAAAGTTCGAATTCTTGAAGTTGACTTCAAAATTTTCGTACTTTTCGGAAATAAAAAAATTTTGCATGATTGAACGATATTTCAAAATACGCACTTTAACAACAAACAGTTTACAAATTAGTCATTGAATTCAAATGGAAGTGTAATGTAATGAAGCAATCTGTTTATAACAAAGTAATTTTTTGCACAAATATTTTCATTCGTCAAGATATGATACACTCATATTTCGATGGCTTCCTTTTCACATCTTACATTTTCATTTGTTAGCTCGCTGTTACAGAAAAGACTGGAAGTACTGGATCTGTTTTTTATCTTACAGAAAATTCCACCCTTCATATAGGCTATCAGTAATGCAAACCGTTCTATGGATCCTTGACAAAGCTCCGCACTCATACAAACCCGTTTTGAAGTCAACGGGTATGATCTTTGACGACTTCCTGAAGGTTTTCAGAGTGAACTGCAGCTGCACTTAATTGATATGTTTAAAAAGAAATTTTTCCTCTAAATTCAAAATTTAAATAAACAATGCTTCAAATTAAAAAATTAAATTTGGTGAGAATAAGTGACTGTTTAAATTAATAAAAAGTGGTATGTCTTATGACATTACTTGGCCTTGTCATCACCAAAAAATAGTTTTCCCTAATGTCATCACTGCATATGAAATAGCTTTATCGTCCATAATTGTTTATTTCCCTTTTTTATTCTCAAAATAACCTGGTTAACAGGTATGAAGAAGGCTTTTCACATATCCTGACCAACAGTAGTCCTTTAATTTTCGCCTCTCATTTTGACAGGATTTTTGAATCTGTCTGTCGATCTCCTATGCTAATAACTGAAGAGCCTTAAAATAATTCAAAATTATGTGAGATTAATGTGCTTCGATTGCTTCAATGTTAATGAAACTATATCATTCATGCTGAAATTTCCATTTTAGCTGATCAGTGTATATTAGTAGTGATGAAAGGCCACTGTTTGTGACATTGTATAATTGCGATTTTCCGTATAAGTATTGGTTATAAGAGAGAAAGCAGGTGTAATAATTTTTAGGCAGAAGTTCCGTTCAGGCCACCACCTGCTATCTTAACTTTGTATCAACGCCATTTATTCACTACTAAAATAAAAGACACATTAATTAAGAGCCTCAAGTTAATTGACAAGCACTCGGATCTAAACTCCATTCATAAGGCTTCCACAAAAATGTAATTTGATTAAACAATCATTTAAGTTAATTTATTTCTAAATTAAGATTTCGGCTGTGAGTACAGGGTCAGCAGGATTAAGGTATCCAAATATTTTCTGTGTTCTCCGTCTCTGTCTTTTTTACATTCCTTTTTCGTTTGTTTTCTTCCAGTTTTCTTTTCAGAAAGATATGCTTGTTTCCGGATTTTTTTCATAGATAGCATGTGCCATATTTTATTTTATATCAATCCTTCTCAGGTCGGATCATATATCAACTTTAATTTTTTACTAAACACTGAATTTCACCCATAGTCGTTAGGGAAAATGAAGAATCCGAAAATACAACAAACCAAGCCAATGCCGAAGAAAAGCATTATCCAAGTTATTCTTACGCTGAAACCAGCAGCAATATAAAATATGAAATGGACCATTCACTCCACAAATGAAAGCTTTTCTTGACAAAGAAATCTTTGTCATAAGAAATTCGTTATTCAAGCAAAATGGTATATAAGAAATAGGTAGATTAGACATTTTAACTAAGAAAAGTAGAAGCAAGGACGAAAATAATCCTTAGAATTAAAGTCTTTATGGATTTTAAAAATGATTTATGAGCCTTGAAATGTTACAAATTATGGAGCGCAAAGAATTCAATCTAGAATTTAATTTAAAATCTACCGTCAAATTTGCTCTATTTTTTTTTGCAATCATTGATATTTTTACCATTCATTCTTTTTTGTTGCAAGATTTACTGATTTCTTAATCAGATTTCTTAATTTTTCTGATTTCTTAATCAGTAAATCTTGCAACTAATTTCTTGAATGATTAAATGAAATATTTTATGATTCACCTGCAATACTAATCGCTAAAATCAGTATTAAAAAAAATAGAATTTATGGCCTTGGAACGAGAAGCCAAAAACATTCTAACAGTAAATAAATCCGAAATAAAGTGAAAGCCATAACAAATTAACAATAATTTGATAACAGATTTAACCAAAAATAATAGATTTTTTTTTTGTATTTCTGCAGTTTTTCTTTTTCACCCTTTGTACAGGTTTTTTCCATTAAAATGTAGCAAGCAAGCTTAAATTGGCTTTCTTATCAGCAGTCTTGGCTATTATTCTGTTTGTGAGCGGTGATGTAAAATTATGGTATGGAAGTGGTCATTAAAGGAAAAAACTTTAAGACATTTATTTCAGAATATAAAATTTTATTCATTTCCGGGATTTCAAAATGTACGCCAAACAAACCAATTTACAGGTTAGCATTTACGTTTAGAGAATTTATTCGTAGCTTTTCGTTCATACTTTTTGATGTACAAAAAGACAATTATGCATTGCAGCTTTTTTTTTATCAATCGGATTTTTGGTTTCAAAGAAAAAAAATTTTGATAGGAAGTGTTTTTAGAAAAGCACATACTCCAAAGAATTTATGAATTAAATTTCATCAGTACTGATCACTGCTGAAAAATATAATGAGACGAGTTAGTTTTTAATGTGTGAGAAATTCTTGTAAAAGTGAATCGTTCGGAAAGTACAATTCCAAAACTAAAATACTTTTTCAATATTTCAAACAAAACAGGAAGCAATACTTGCATAATTCTCATCGAATAATTGAGACTCTTTAAGTTTCTTCCTCGAAATTATCTATTTATGAGAAAAAAAGAGAAGTCAGCAGATCCTATGGCTTTACTTAAATTAAAGATGTAGTTTAAACTAATACATCTTTAATCTATGCTTATTTGAAGTTTCCTTCTTTTTTAAATTTAGAAAGCCAAGCATTTCATGTGTAAGTCGGCAGAAGAGCACTCTTCCGAATACTTTCATCCTTTCACTCATTTCTTTTCTACCACTTACTTAATGTTTCCGCAATATTAGTTACTGAAAAAGCTATCAAAAAGGTCGGATATTTTTTGCATCTAAATACAATGGAGATTAAAATGCAGAAAATATTTCAGATCTTTTTGTCACATTACACTATGTGTTGTTATTCATTATCGCAAAGCTTTGCTTTAATTCGATTCAACATTTATTGCTTCTTTAAATTTATTTCTTTGCTGAAAATTTATTCTTTTAAAGTACCACCAGAATTTCTGTTCGAAGACATTGCAATTTGAATATGATTAAATTAGTTAAAAAAGTCCTATTGTGGGCTTAGTTGTGTCTTTATTCTCATTTATTTTTTCAAAAAAGATTTAGAGACCAGTCATATTCTATTATATAAATATTGACGGTATAATTCCTCCCAATGTAATAAGTTTCATAGCTCTTCATTACATTTAAATTACTCCCAACTCAATTGAATAAAGAGCATATCTTTAAAAGTGTTAATTAATATAGCAATGTTATGATTGCTTAACCATCGTTTGTCATTTGTTATCATTAAAAAATCATTAGTAAAAAAATGCTCTTCCATAATTTTGAAGGCGTAGTAGACAATTGATTATCTGTTGTTTCATAAACTTGTTATCAATGACATGAGCCTTTTATGAATTTCATGAGCTTTTCATGAGTAGTTTCATGAGCTTGTTATCAATGGCATGAGTTACATGAGCTTGTTATCAATTGATTATCTGTTGTTTCATGACCTTGTTATCATGTTTGATAAAAGAGCACTTTTCTTTGCTATCCATCACTATTATCTTAATGATGAATGTTTTCATATTTCGGAACTTCACAATTTTTGGCGTAATATTAGTAAAATATGGAAACATTTAATTTTAACAGTACAATGTTTATATAATGCTGGTTTAATTATTCTGAAAGTAATTTATTGTCAAGAAATGAACGAAAAAATAAATAAATAAATAAATAATAAAAATTGCAAAAAGGCTGACGAGAGAAGGAACAAGGATGACTTATAACCTTTTCTTATCACAAGGCTAACTGATTCGAAACTTTTATCTCGGGGTTTTCAGAAAATTTTAAAAAAAATTCCATTTTTCCTAAAAATTCTATAGGAAAATTTCATTACTGGAATTTGAAGCCTAAGATCTGCAAAAGTCTTATTTGGCCAAGAAAAATATGAAATATAAAATAGTTTTTTTGCACTACAAAATTTCCATTCCATCGGGTATCTTTAAATTAACAATAAGCAAATGACAGGAATACAGTTGGAATTCAGTAGCCTTAGCTCATCAGTTTCTTACTTGCATATTTATTTTAGAAAATCTTTTGGCTTCATATTTAGAATTTTTTTTCGTTTAATGGAAAATTTTGATAAATTTGAACACTATCGTTCGGTTTATTTTTCACAGTAACCTATATTTTAATTATAAATGGCGCATTGCATCTTTGGCTCCATAGCACATATGAAATAATTGTTAATGTGAATTTTCAGTAATGTTTATAGAATTTTCATGAACAATGAACATTTTACATCGCGGTATCAAGTAAACATGATGAGGTTAAATTTTAAAATTCAACTTGTAAGATATAATTCCCATCCTTTAAACTAAAACAAGGAATAAACATAATAGGAAAAAGGAAAATTTTTGATAGATTATAAATATCTTTGCGAACAATTTTGAATCTATCATAACAGCGATTCGAAATATTTTGAAAGATTCGTCGATCCTTGTAGCGAATGTAAAGAAAACAAGGGAGATCTTTGACTTTACTTTTCTGCTGAGCCTTTGGAAAGAGCCTAAAGCTAAAAGAAAGATGATAAATCAAGCTTGGCGTTGCACTACGCAAGCATAATTAATCTCTTTCACTAGATAAGTAAAATGCAAGTGATGCGAATGTGAAATGGTTACTGGCAATAGTTCAAAAACCTTTTCCTTTCTCATCTATTGCTGTTCTAATAGATACATTTTCAACTAAATATAATGTTTAGATTTTGTTGCAAATACTAATTACTTAATTCAACTATATTCTTCTCGATTTCAGACTTATTTTAATTCATATTCCCTTGAAAGAATATACTTTTGGGAGCAACCGAACTACAACTCAAACAATCTCTCATGAATAATCCATGCCTGTTATTTCTTGAAATCAAGCTTTTTCTTTTAAATTTATCAAAGAATTCATCCTCAACTCGGCAATAAACCATTTTTGTTAGGTTTAGAGTAAACCAAAATTAGAACACTTGTTAAACTTCGTGTAACTATGAGATTCTCACACATCTATTATTCATATTTAAATAAAATTTGAAGTTGTAAGTAAAATATCGATGAATGTGGTTAAATTCAAACGAAATTTTTTGAAAGTGAAAATACTTACGTTGTTTTACAAAGATATCCGTAAGTAAATGCTTGCTGTTGATTATTAATTCTAGAACTCATATATTTGATTTCAACCTTCATTTCATACTTATTATGGGATTATTCGAGGCCTGATGATATAGTTGTTAACTAAGCTATGAAAGCAGCCAGCATAAAGTTTCGGCATTGGTGTTGTTACTAATGATTTGGTTAGCCAGAAACGCAAATTTTAGAGGTCATAAGTATCTTCGTTCATGGTTTCAAATAAGTTATTCATCTAAACGATAAATGAGAAAGATTTTTCTCATAGGCAAACCCTGGAAAATACATGTAAAGAAATTTTGGCTATCTGAACAATACCAATAAAAGGTTCAATTTAATTCTTGAAGGTTAACATACCAATTCCGTTTGTATGTGCTTTTTCGTTTTTCGTTTTCAAGAATTTTAATCACTGTTTATTATTAAATAAAAACTTTTGTCTATTTTCAAAAATTCTCAACACTCTAATCGGATATTCGAATTTTTTTTCGTTATTTGCAGAATGGTTCTCTCACTTTACTGAGGTAAATCATTTTTAATATTCGTTTATTAGAATGTAGAACAGCAGAGCATGAGACACTACATTTTAACATCTGATTACATTTTAAGGCTTTTCTGAATAACAGCAAGATGAAATTAATGGCAATAGCAGAGATGTTAGGAAAACAATTACCGATGAAACTGAAATGGGATAGTGTTATATAGCTTCAGTGTTCTCCATCGACATTTGCAGATACGGCTGGTTGATCAGATAAAGCAATAAGTCTAATGCTAAGTTTACCCTTGACGATACTTTATAATCAATTGTTATCCATTTATTCTTATGCATAGAATTCTAATTCGGGGGCAGTTTGAGTTCGACTCAAATGTACTGTTGGAAAAAAGTGGACAATTGCTTACTGATCAAGAAAAGGAATGATAATTCTAAGTGTTAAATAATATTAAATGAACTCCATTCTCTTACCTTATACAGTTTGACCTTTTTTTTGTTGGATTGTGCATTCAACCAAAGTTTCACTCTTTCTCACTTTTCAACAATTTTAATAATGCCTTCCTTTCCGAATAGAACATTGCAAAGATATTTCCATTTTCTCTTTCATTTTCTCGAAATGAAATCTTCAAGTGGCAAACGAAGTCCTGGGCATAAAATATGTTTACTAAACGCTTTTTAACATCAGTTATGCTCAAGCCGGCGAGCAGTTTCAATTTTAACAATTACTTTTTCAATTATTGGAAAATATTATTACCTTAAATTAAAAAATTAGTTTCTGGTTAGATGTAAATCGGTTTCGTGAAATTGAATTTTGAAAAGTAAGGTTTAATTTAAGAATTGCTACGCAAGCACCATAACATGCGAAACTCTTTGCCTCGCACAGAAAAATTCATCTTTTACTGTGCATTATCTTGACATTTATTTTAAATTTTATTCTTCGCAGTAAGCCTAGATTTACTTATGAAGCCACAACGACAAATACCTATCTTTCTAAGTTATATTTTTCTCTTAAACATAAGAATTGTTCGTATACAGCAAAAGTTCATTTACGCCACTGTGTATAAAAAAAAAATAAAAAGAATAAAATAAGCTCTTCATTTAGCTTCAAAGATGAAACTAATTTGATATTTTAAATTTCTCTGAAATTTCCTCACCGGTTTGTCTGTTCGTTTTTCATCAATTTTAGACGATATCATACAACTGAAAATAGTCCCTTTTAAATCTTTCAATGATTTTTAAAATTTCTTCACTGTAATCGCTAGTTCACTTCTGTAAAACAACAAATTTAGCATTTAAAAATAATTTTCTTTTATTCGACAGAGTCCTGTAATCATTTACCTCACTCATTTTTTAATGCTAGACTTTCTGAGTTCATCATTACTTTCACCTACGAATAGGCCAGGTCATTAGTTTTACGTGCTCATTTCGAGAGTGGTTTAGCATACCTTAAATAGGAAGCTTTTCATATTTTAAGCACATTTTTGATGAGTTTATAAAGAGTGGTAATTTCGAAATGCGATAAATAGACTATTTGTTTATTTAAGAGCAGCTTCAAATAAGGGTTTCAGCAAGACCAAATGCTTAAGCTTTTGCTGAAGATTCATGTAAATCTTTGTTAGTGCTTTTGATTCAAATAATGTGGTGGGTGATGTTTGAAATTTTATGGTGAATAGCTGACTCGTAATACTTGTAATAAAGGGGCAGAAGAATTTAAAGCGTTTCTTTTACGTATTTTTTAATTACTGACATAAGGAAGACAGTACGACACCATAGTTATACCATAATTGGTATGCATCGTCCTCTTACTTTTGCATTAGTTGGCTCATTATACTCTTTAATATTTCTATGGATCACCTGACGTTTGCAAATACTTCTTATGAGAATGATAATAATAATAAATACAAGTAGTCAAGGCAGCACCTGCTAAGCGAGTACAACTTGTTAACTTATTTAGTTATCAGATGCAAATATTTTATTAAATAATCCTGAATTACTCGAAAAAGGTACTGAGTTAAGGTGCAACACCTTGAAATATTTAATTAGTTGAAATGTTAAAATGTTTTATAGCAGAAGCAAATGATCGAAAACGACAAAATTAAAATGTTTTTCTTAAGCAGAACAAATACGATCGACAACTACTCAGTTGTGCACAACTGTTTCATTACATATATTCCTTTTCATTTACTTCCTTTACTTTTTTTATCCATGAATCTTTTTCCGGATCAAGATTCAGAAATCCGGGTTGTGTAAGAAACCATATTTTAGGCATAATCATATTTTCTTCTTTATTCAACTGCTCACTTATATATCCACTTAACCGTCTTATCATACTTGTTAAATAGTTTTTGAGACCTTTGAAAGTGGGAAATATGCAGAAAAACAAACTACAATTCTTTCGCGAGTGTGTCACATGTGAACACACCATATATTATTTTAAATGTGCCTGGTTTTTTTCCCTTCTATACTTTTCGTCCGCTTACATTAGCGTTGATACTTTATTTGCCATTTGTCCACTGGAATTTCAGTTCATTTCAATCGTTCATCACAGAAATAACATAATTGTTTGTTTACAGTGTATTATGACACAATCTCCCGTATTTACCAAATTCACTACCAAGAGCCAATTTTCAGACAACGAAAGGCAAGTTTCAATCTGCTTGGCGTTACTTTGTTCCACTAAAAAAACCAGAAATAAATAATCTTTTCGTATGTCGGAAAAAATGGAGAAGGTGAGAATGTGAAGTTTTATTTTTTGAAAACTACTTTTGCTAGATGTTCTGCTTGCATTACCTTCTCGTCCACCGAACAATGAAAAAGAAGGTATTTGAATAATTTGATACACAAATTTTTGAAATTAGAGAAAGAGCAAGAGAAAAGGGAATATGTTATCGTTATTCTGTTGGAAGTATCACACTTGTCTTCGAATAAAATGTAACTATTTAGTGAACTTTAATTTTATTTATCCAACAGCGAATTTATATTACGGAATGTAAAAGACGATTTCTTTTTTAGCAAGAAATGTGATTTTTCTTTCTGACAAAATCTGACAATTAGGTGATTAATTCGATACTTAATAAACTTTGTATTAAGTTTATTAAGTATCGAATTAATCAACACCGATTACCATATACTTTTGAAAAACCGATGCTTTTTAAAGCTATATAAGTTAAGCACTTCTGCTTCGGTTTTTTTACGAAACAAATTTTAAGTGTTCAAATGGAAAGAAACTATTTGCGTTCGTGGATATAAACCGGGAGTAGGGCGAGAACAAGAACTTGTCAAGAGACCAAGCCACATTGAACAGTAAACAGGGAAAAGCTACTGTTGGAAATCACAAATAGTGGGGTATATATAAACTAAGTAATAATGGAAATAGAAGTTTTAGAAGCTGGGAACGACACCGAGACGATATTGTCGTTGTTACAATATGGCTGATAATGCTCAGTTATGCACTTGCTTCGAATATTCTCATTCTGATTGGTATAGCACATAATAATTCTATGCGAACTTCAACGAGGTACTGTTTGGCACTGTTGCTATTCCTACACACTGTCTTTACAGTTATTTTGCTACACCACTTCTAGTATTAATACTGCTAGAATATATGTAAACAGTTTTCTATACTAATAAATGAATTGACATATAAATGACAAGAATAAGCGTAGGTTTTAAAGTATTGTATGAGGTATTCGCTTTCAAGGTTTCTGAATAGTAAGCCAGAATGATTTGGAGCGTCTTTTCCACAATTCATTTTTATTAATTTAAGGTGAAAAATTCATCCTAATGTTAGATGGTGAAAAAACTATGTTTTGGCAACTATTCCAAGGAACATTACTACAGTTTTCCACCACAGCTCTTCTGAATGTTGACACAATGACCACAGTGGATGAGCCTTTCACTCTGACCACAGTTTTCGAATTTCTATTATAAACTGTTTGAGTGTCGGAACATCCCATTATCGGACAGTTACAGAATAGCATTTTTCCATCATAAGACGAAAGAGACACTGATGAGGAATTGTAGGTCGCACATGAACAAGAATTAGTTTCCTGTACGGATTTATGTTCCGCCTATCTTTTCTTCTCGGCAAGATTATGTATATTATATCAATAATTTTGCTAGCAATTCATACATGTAATTCTGTTAAGTATAAAATTTCCAAAAACTTTAAACTTTAGAAAACCTTATATTTTTTTATTAACTTTGGACAAATATGATTCTGTCTGATTACGGACAGACTAAAACTGTGCTTCTTACTCAAAAATAGGAGTACTTCAGTCTAGATGATGGTGATATAAAATATGTTTAGTGGAGTAAACCGAGAAGTTTCTCGAACCATTGTTGCAAATATGAAGTCCTAATTCAATTCATTCACGATACCTATATGTCTTATCGTACTAAAGAAGTGGAAACAATCACCCCAACTAAGTTTGCAACGAAGTTTGACCTAGGCCCTTTTTGAAGCCATAACGAAGCTGTCGACGAGAAATAATGTACGCACAGTAAGTGTTAATCCAATAGGGGTTAGTATAAGCCAAAAATTGGTCAGATTATCTTGTATTTTTGGGCCATCTTTGGTGTTGAATTAAAGCTCGAGATAGAGGACCTTCCAAGGATCTCAAATGAACCCTAGTAACTATTATGAAAAGATGTTTTGTTGTCGAAGAATGAAGAAATCAGCCAACGAATTTAATGAAGCATCATCTGAAGACGGAATGCATTCAACGAGTCGGGCCAACTAGGTCCGGAGGATTTATCGTTGTACCCCACTCGACGTGGTTCAAAATCGTTTTCTATTTTGCTCCCCATAGGTTAGTGTGTTTCTTTGAACCGATGAAACCTTCCAAGTCTATTTTTCATTAAGGCCAGTGAAAGTAAAGAATTTCAAAATAAATAAAAAAGTAGACGAGGGAACGGAGCGATTCACAATGCACGACAATGTGAATGAATTACATCACCAGAGTTAAAAATTCGAATGATAGAAAAGTGCAATTGTCAATTGAAGATGCTCTCCTTTCAAGGCCATTAGAATAGCGAAAGGATTGTTGCAGAAAAATGAACGGGGATTTCAAAAGAGTGTATTATCCGCTGATAAAAATATCGGGACACTGAGAAGAAATGCTATTCTATAAGTAACCGATTGAAGCACACAGAAGAGCTGAACCTATAAAAATTTGTTTATAATCTGATTGAAGCATCGATGTGTCACCACTTCAGTCTTAAGCTTCTGCACTACTGGTGATTTTTGAGTAAAAGACGGAAAAGGTTTAAATGAGCTCGTAAAACGATGGGCATTTGGAAGATTCATGCAGCAGTTAACAAGGGGGGGGGGGGGAGGGAAGCAAATAGTTCAATAAAAAAAACTCGAACAATTTTGCTCAGAAGGCTTGAAAATCTGTCTCTTGATCAGTTTCCTCACTTAATCGTATCATTCAAGACGTAAACCGATATCAGAAACCGTTAATCAATTAGAGTTGGGAATACAATATATACAAACTTTCTGCGAAGTTTAGCACAAACTTTTGCAATGGAACAGATCAATTAGATTATGTGACAAGTGACAAACTATGTGTTGTCTGTGAGTATTTTTGAGAGAAAAGTGCATTTAATGTTGGTAAGTAAGCAGAAATCCAGGTCACGATTGAAAACCTGAAACAGTTTCAGGAATGCAACACACTGAGGACGAAGTAATGTTATTCTTTTATTAGCATGTGATATTATCCATATAGCAATGTCCGTTTGACTTCATTACTTCAATATTAAATTATTCTTGGAGGATTGCAATTAACAATATAATCTTAAAGATGTTAAAGACAGTTGTTTGTTGAATTTAACTGATGGATAAGACGGTATTATGCAATACTTTATTATTCCAATTAGTCATTTTTTTAAGAAAATTGAGGTAATTTCGTTCTGATAAATGATCAGATGACAAAATCAGTATTTGCGTAATTGATTTCATTTCACATAATAGTGATATAAAGGTTGAGTAAATGTTTATGATAAATCTCTAGACTCTATATTCGATATTTTCTTCTAAAATGAGTTCCTTTGATTACTATAAGTTCAGTTTTTGGAAGTAATTTTTTATTTTTCACTAATTATCATTAAAAAAGTATTCATCTAGCTAAAGTGAAGTAGGAATGGAAGCAAGTAGATATGCGGTTTGCAGAGAAACAGAAGAGAGAAGGATAGAAAATTTAGGATTTGCTAAATGAATGGAGGAACACTTCTAGTGAAGCTGATCTCTTAGCCTTCTGTGAACTATTTTTGAATTTTTTGAAAGTCGTCGAGAACGAGGAATTGCTGAAAAGCCAGAGATACTTTATTCTGAAATAACATTTCTCTTATAAATTAATTTACTTACGCTATATATGAAGATGATATGGAGAAGAAATTTCAACCAGGATTATCAATGAAAAATTCTTGAAACCTCCTGCAAAAAAAATATATCTTGTGACTACTCAAGCAGTCGAAATCTTCATTATTTCAGAATATTTGTTAATTCATACTTACAAACTATAGCCTAAGATCTGAAATGATATCCTAATTTCGCTAAAAAAATATGTTACATATTTGTGTGATTATTATCGTACAAATAAATATGTAATTTCAGCTACTGGTTTATAACATCGTTAGCTACCTGCGATATAATAATGGTAGTGATCAGTTTAACTCACCTTGTGCCTGCGACGGCTTTTCATAGTGCCTTCCTAGATTTTCACTCTGTTCGCAATGTACTTATGATATTCTTCTATGATTTTTTTTGGTATACGGCTGTTTTACAGTTAGGACTTATGGCATGTAACAGGTTTGTCATTTTGTAAACAATTTTTGAAAATTTATCGGAAATTCAAGTTTGTTGAGAAATAAATTAAGGATGGTTTAGCTGACATGTTCTTCTATGAATGCAAATATATTTTAATCAAGCAAATCTCAAGTAAAACTTACAAAGATAGTGTTTTTTCCGAAGTAAATTCAACTTCCATAATTAGTTTTTGCAAGTTCAGTGATCAGACATGAAAATACCTCAGCACTCTCATACCTGGGTAAACTCTCTTATCTGATTGTTTTGAAAAATAGTAAATAGAATTTTCAAATTTCTAAAAGAACAACTTGCAGATTTGTTAGTATTGTCTATCCAATGGAATATAAGTGGTTGTTTTCACCACGAAAAGCACTGCTTGCAATATTTATTGGTTATGCATTAGGTTTTGCTGTATCCTTGCCAACATTATTCCCATGTTGTCATACATTGTGGAACTCTGATTACTACATAACTGTCTACGATCCCATGGATACATGGTAGCATTTTTTCTTTTCTTTGCTTACTGTACCCCAAAGAGGAGTTATTTAGATGGTATCGAAAAAAAGTAAACTAGTGAATGCTTATTCAAAAGCACTATTAGAACTGGAACCGAATGTATCGAAATAATAGGGATTGTTACTAAGTGATAAGGCTAGAAAGTGGTGTGTGTATGTGTATGTGTGTGTGTGTATGTGTGTGTGTGTGTGTTTGCGTGTGAAAGATACACGCAATTCAGAAGAAGAGATTAAATATTTCATACAAATACGTAATATGAATGACCAATGGATATATGAAATATTTGTAATACTCATGAAAAGCATAAACGATAGGGAAATGACAGGGTGTTGTTTATGACTTTATGTGCAGTGATTACGTCTTGTGGTTCATATGATGGCTATGGTGAGAGGAATTAAAAAGTATTAATACAGTAGGAAATATGTTGCAGTTGAAGTTGCGAATAAGAAGTGGTAATGATATATGTGATCATGTTGAATGACAAGCGTGGGTGAAAACTACGAATTGCAAGAGAGATGGGGAAGGGAATAAGAAGTATCTATAACTGAAAATTGAATAATTTTTGAAAGAATTATTTTTAAATAGTTGTTTTCTTTGAGATACTTAGATTTTACAGGAAACGAATGCTTAAATAAATAACCTATGGAAAAATGAAAGAGCTAAATTAATGAGATAAAATAAATGTGATTATTTTTGGACTTAGTTTGACTAATGTCATATCATGATATTTGCATTTCCATTACAAATCTACAAAATCATTAAAATCAATAGTGTTCAGCAGAAAATTAAGTAAAAAAAATCTAGGCCTTATACTATGCTAGTATAATTGCTATTCAAAGTAAATTTACTAATGGTCATGTGATGATTCATATTTTTGCTTTTTGTTTTGATATAACATTATGATTTCTTACTTTTTCAATTTTTTTTAAAATTTAGTAACCACGGAAAGCGAAGAAATAAACTGACGGACAGATAAGGGACAATTGGAAGATGATAAGAACACATTTCAGCAGTTATCACAACATTTGAAATGTAGGAGAGAGAAAAGTACCATATTAAATAAGGAATCACTATTAAACTGGTTGGGTAAAAGATAGCTAATAATGGAATAGAGTAAATAAAAATAAGGCATTAGTTTTTGCAGATTCAAAAGTGTTCACTGAAAAGTAATTGATTCCATACACAAATATACGACAGAGAAATATTAGCTATGACTAAATGATTGCAATAACGAATGATTGTAATTAGTTATTCCGGAACTTTTTCCTCCCCAGCTGATAATTTTTTCCTTCAAAATGGTCATCATTCAAAATATTTAATGCATATCTGATATTTGTACCAATCGTACTTTGAGCTGTAGAAGTGATTGTTGGAGATGAAATGTTTTGTGAGATGGAAGAATGATTAATAAGCGATCATTGAAAAAAGATTATCTATATTCATAACATACTTTTAACAGACATGATGTTTTCAATTATATGGATTTATCATATTCGTAGGACTTTTTTGCAAATAAAAATAGGTCTCATAAATTTCAGAGTAAAAACTGGTAGATTCGAAATTGAGATCCACTATAGTGGAGTTTTTCCTAGTGTAAAATCACGAAATGTAAAAATACAGAAATACCAGAAAGTGGAAAAACATTGCTGTGAAGAAGCAAAATATACTGAATGAAGAAAAAAAGACAAAATTACAGCCAATACAAAAATTTCAATTGCAAGAAAATATCGCATATATATTCGGCAGAGAGTTGCAAAGTGTTCGGTGAGAAGTCTAGGAAAGTCAAGTCATTTTATTTCATTTGAAATTCTCGTTTCTTTTTTTTCCCTCAAGCTCCATAGTACAGCAACAAACACATTTCTGTTCTATCATATGTATCATAGTAACTTAAACCACATTATCATTCATTACTTCATCGTTGGGATAAATCGTTGGATGAATTTTTGCCATCGATGTTTTGAAAATAAATTCATAGTCTTAGAAATAAATCAATTCCTTCCATTATCGACATTATGTATGTAGAAAGTGTTTCTTGTTTATCATTTGAGCATGTACTATGCGTATTGTGTGTCACTTCGTTACAAACTTATTATAGATTGTGAGATTGGTCCATTCAACTCAAACAACGATATACAAAAATTCAAAGTAAGAGCTGCGAGTAAAGTTGGTATCTCGTGAAATGTGAAGCTTTTAGTCTTATCTTTTGAGATTGGTATCGTGAATATCACAATTAGAAAATCGTTTAAAATATAATCGTTTATAATATCACAATTAGAAAATCATTTTGCCAAATCCTGGCTTCACAGAACTTATGACTATTAAAGATTTCATCATCAGTTCTTTTTTCAATTGCAATAGTTGAAATGCTTTTGATTGTTCTTGCCATGATGGTGAACAACATCACTTGACTCCTGTTGCTTTGGTGTCCTGAACACTTGTTATCTCCTTGATTACTTCATTTGATTGGCTGATTAGGATGTTTCAACAATTACATTATGGATACTCTTTTTATGATACAGAATTCTAATCTATTAAAGTCATGATAAGTTTTCAGTATTTTTCCACATGGAATGGCAAGTTATAGTTTTTGTAGTTTTTTGATACGCTCTAAAGCAACAAAATAATATCAGAAACTATCAGAAAATAATAATATCAGAAACAAAAAATATAAATATAAATATAAAAATATAAAAAGCAAATAATAATATCAGAAACACGTTATGTGATACAATTATTGGCTTGATAATCATTGTGGAAATTCTCAAGCATTAGCAAGGATGGCTTGTTATCAACAAAATATTGATATTCTACATCAAAATTTTTCAAGTGTTTTTGCAATCAGTGTAATAATTTTATGATTTAGAATTTAAAAAAACTAACTTTGATGGTACCTTTTTATTCTATAAAATCATAATTGCATTTATTCATTATCCTTCTTAGTTGTGATTCTGAAGATATTGCCATAAATATTATATATTACGTTCATTCAGAGAGGGTGGTTTTGTCTTCAAAGTGGTATAGTGTTGAAAAACTGCATAATTTTCTTTTATAATATTGATATCGTTGTAAAATCTATTCACCTCATGAGAGTTGTTTGTTTCTTGAGGCTAATTGTGTGAGTTTGTAAGAGAATGAATCACAGCTACAGGGGTTCTTTCTTTGAGAATCATCGTCGTCCTCTTTCAGTAAAGGTGACATTTCTCAATTGTGGTGAGTTGCGACATTGAGTTTTGAGCGTGCTGGGAACTGCTGCCGTTTCATTACGCTTAAGATTCCAAATGCTAACAGGTAAAAGGCTGTTCTGAGAATCACTGGTCTGATTATTCTTCTTAATCAAGTTCTCACAGTAACATAACATGGAATGTAATATGCAGTGCGACATGATTCAGTTGTGTTTTTCCCTTATTTTTTTGCAAGACTAAAAGGAGTGAAATAGGAAACGAGAGCATCAGGAAATTTAATCAAGTGCTTAAGCTAGCGGCTTTCAAACATACTATGAAAGCTAAATTTACTCTCGCATCATTACCTGATAATAATGTAGACAAAGTATACACAACATACGCTTTAGTACAGTGAAAAGTTTTGCCTGTATCCACAGTCATGCAAATGTATCCACAGTCATGCAAAAATGGTTTGCCATTAAAAATAAGTCAATGAGTCAATGCATTATTTGAGTATTAGTAAACTAGAGGTTAGAAAATAGAGAGGGAGGAGAATCTCGATTTAAACGATGCATTTTGAATGGGAAATGTCAAATATTGTCGTGTGGTTAAATGGGTTTTAAAAAGTAACTCATATCGATTTCATGCACCTGTTTTGGACTTTTTATAAACTCAGACATGTCTTATTTTCAGGTATAAATATGTTGATGTGGGTGTCAACAGTCTGTCTTTATTAGTCATGATTATTTCTTACGCAATAATTATATACAAAGTGCGGGAAAGTAGGCAGGCAATGGCCAAACATCAGTTAATGGTACATAATTTGCTAATCATTAAACGGAATTCCTTCTTAATTGAAAGAAAAAAAACAAAAAATACTCAATAGATTATTGCATCTGTAATGCATTGAATGCAGATTCACTAGAAAACTGGGTAAAGTACTTCTCTCATTACTTGATTCAAAAATCTGAAAATATCGTTAATGATTTTAGCACTTTCAACAGTTGCACATCTTGCGAAACAAAATTTACGAAAAGCAATTTTGAATTCTGAATTCAAATTTTTATGGAGAATGCTACTGGCTTGCATTTTTTTTTTTTGCAGATAGAATATAATCACTTGGAAGATGGTAGTGATTCATATCTGAGATCGAACAATTTTAGAACAACACGTGGACAAATTAGTAAAAAAGAGATGAGACTTTTCATACAAGTGAGTAAATTAAATTTCTTCCATTTTGAATTTGATATTGCTGGCTGTCTTTGTTACAGTACTTCATGATTGCTACTGTTCATAGGCTTTGTACCACTTTAGCTTCAAATTTTGATAAAAATTTTAGTTTTTCCTGGTTTCCTTGGTTTTTCTACTAACTTGGACAACATGGCAGTGGCTTCCTCAAATATCTGAATCAAAATGGGCCTACTTTGTTATGACTTCGTTGTTTTTCATAAATAATTCCATCAATCCGACAGTATATTTGCTCTTCAATACTCAGGTATTCTTCTCAAGTTTCCTTCTCTTACCAAATATATATCGGCAATTAAGAATGAGTTCTATTTAAAGATGAATCAATAGAACTTGTAATCAAGCTTTATGCATACTACAAATATTTTACTTGCAGTTACGACATGAAATAGGTCGTTTGTTATGTAATTCGAGTGCGAAAACAGTTTCACCAACAAATCGTGGATGTATACCAATGTCTAATAAATTGTTCAAATATACAGCTAAAAATCAATCGACAGGAAATAATGGTAGTAGCAGTCAACATGATAGGCATTGCAAGCCTTCAACAACACAGACTGGACATGAATTGCTAACAATGAGAACACCCAACGTCAGTGATACTGCTGTTACAAATAAAGTTTTAGCAAATTCAGCGGCAGCTTCAATGACAATGACAATGGTAAGTGATGCTATCACGGTGGATAATAACGATGTAACTGACATAACAATAACAGCAACATTGAAAAAATCGCAACGACAGTTGCTTGTTGATGACAATATCATTATTATCGATAAAAATGACACTTCAATTGCTTAATTGAAATTTCGTTCTTTGTTTTTATTGTGCTTTGTTTTTATTCAACGTTCAAATATATACTTTATAAGCTTGGCTTTTCGGTGCATTCCGTCTGTTAAGTTACTGAAAGACAGATGCGGCATAAATCTTACTTCTATTATGTAAAAATTTTTCATTCAGAATGAGTTCTAGAACTAGAAAATACATCCTACATGTCGACAGAAATAATGATCATACAGTTATACGATGTCAATCACTATCGTCTTGAGAAACTGTACCATTTTCTGAAACTACCATTTCCATTTATATGACTGCACTGATCCTAAAATTTTACCTGAAAGGTGTCGGAAAAATTAATTTGTTGACTTCGTTTTTCAGCGATATAGGTTTATTCGAGATGTAATATTGTTCTTGCACAATAGTATTAGTTAACAACAGCAAAAAAAGGTATAAGACATATTAGTACGCGACAAATTTGTAAGCAGAGATAAATAAGTTATACAGTAAACAAGCAGTATGATCAACTAATAAATTCCTTGTCGTTGTTTTCGATAATAGTTGGCTGTCGGTTTGTTGATTGGTCGCGTAATAACTGAGATATAACAGTTCGTCTTTTCTAATTGGATGGATAGGTGAAGAGGAGATTATAGTCTGCTCAATTATAAAAACTCATTGTGTGAAATTTTTTCCATATATATTTACTTAGGATTAGAGAAAGAGCTTTTGTAAGCTTCACCGGCGTTATTATTAGGTTATATCCTCTTCTTGCTTTAATTTTACTAACAGAATACATCACAGTCCGGCAAATATCGTAAAAATTTTGTTTGAACTTAACTTCAATTTCGGTAATTTGAAAAGGTATTCACTTACATTGTGCAGATTGATGAAATGTTCATTTGGAGCATGCGGAATGGAGATCATAATTTTGGTGAATTTCACTCAACGTAATGACTTTGCAGTTATAGAAGGGAGGATGACATTCTAAAAAGTTTGACTTTTCAAATATTTATTTGAACTTTGTTTTGTCTGTTGTACACTACATCTCTCGTAAAACATATATTTATTACATAGTATGTGACAGTGTACTAACGGTTGAAGAAAACATTGGGAAATTACTTATATATTGATTTATACTATACTTGGCGATACAAATACACATTCACAATTGTTCTTTAACTTCAAACAATTTGCGACTACAGTTTTTAAATCTAATGTGGTACTGGATATAAATGAATTAGTTTTCATAACAATCTGACATTCAACCCTATCCATTCTCTCGAGATTTTCTAGATCGGGTTGAATTTGCATTTCACTCTTTCCGTAATATTTTGGAGCGGAATTTTCTCTTGAAGCTTTAGAATAATAACTTAAGGTTGGAATATAGCTAGAATCGGTACAAGTAGTTATTCAGGTAGGCTGTGTGGTTTGCGGTAGTAACAACATGCGCGATGAAGTTGCATCATTTGAACGAGTTAGCGTCGTTCATGTAACTTGCATAAGTTTTTATATATGCTAATTAATTCTGATTAATACTTGATTTGCAAGGATCACCTTAACTGCTTAAACGAAAAAGTATTGAAAATGAAACAAATAACGATTAGACATCCCAGGAAGAGCAGAATTTATTGGCTGTAAATGTAGGAATAACCGAAGTATTTTTGTAATATAGAAATATTTCGATGCTGTAAAGATGTTGGAAATCAGCTCATAGTTAAGATGCTTATTAAGCTGATAACAAAGTTTATGTGCAATTGTAGGGAGGTTGTAAACAAACTTCCACTACATGAAGAGTTAGGATTATCCACAAGAGACCCATTCAGTGGATTTAATCGGTCAACAGTTCGATTTGACTCGATTCAGTTCTGTACTATCATCCATAGCCCATCAAAACCACACTGAACTACAACCACAAATAAACTCTCAGCAAATTTTTTCTTTGGATGACAATAACGAAAACCTAGTGATCGACTCTACCCATAATATTCCCTGATAATTGTCCTATAACGCAAACAAAGAATAAATCCTCCGTCAATCAATAAAACCTTTATCATAACTAATTGTCCTCGCCAATCGTGGAAAAACTTCCACATTGGTTGTCGTTAATTCGTGACTTAGACTTATTTTTTGACTTATCACATCTGAGCACCAATAACGTTAGATGTATTACTTAGTGCTATATTTCCATTGTTTTCAAAAAGACTGCTTGATCCTCTGAATTTCAACGTGTCAGAATTTTTCTAATCGTTATGAGAGACTTATGAATCCCTGTCTTCAATTTGGAGATGTTCCAACGTGACAGTCTTTTTGGCAGTTAGAAGTGAGATAGTTTGAAGTACTGTATTTAGGCGCCTTATGTTGAGAATAGTATGAGCTGAATCACCATTAAAGCTGATTTGCTTTTAAAGTTGAGCAGACATAATAATGTTGTAATATAAAGGAATATGGATTGTGCTAAATATAGATTGATATAGATTAATTAAATTGAAGAAGACTGAAGTTTTGCGATTGTTTCGAAGGCGATTTGGTTTGTCTGATTTAATTACTTAACTTTATTGGAGGGGGAGTGTAACAAATACACGATGCATTTTAATTTAATATACTTGTATAGTTCCTTCATTCTCGAGTTAACGGTCTTTGATAGCATTTCATTGAATACCTTGTTTTTTTAATTAATCAACCTGTTTAGATTTGCTTTTTAAGCAAGATGCCTTGACAGGCTATTTGTGTATTTTGCATAAGTTTGCCCATCGGGCTGAACAAAGATTTTGTTTGCTATAAAATTATGTCTCTCTTTAAGGAGATGTTAATTTGCGACTGGTTATTTTTTATTTTATTTTTTGAAAGCTACTTTTGCTAGAAAGCTATATAAGTTGAGCACTTCTGCTTCGGTTTTTTTCCGAAACGCAGTTTAGCTGTCGGAACGACTAGCAGTTTTCATTGAGAAAAAAACTTCACATCCTTACTTTGTCTGTTTTTTAGGTATTCCTATTTCCTATTAGTGAAATAAAGTGTGCGGGATTGGAACCTGTCCTGTGTTATTCATAAAAGCTGTCTGAGGGTTGATCTGAGGCATAATAAAAACTAACAATTTTCAAGAAAATTGCTCCATGAAAAGCGATTCAATGTATGACATCATCACAACCAATGTTGTTGTCGCAGCAATAACCAAGCGTCCTCATCAGACTCATCCCCTGTCGAATTATTTTCTTCTGTCGGACAATTCAAAGAAGCATCCACCCAGTTACGTTTCTAAAATTATCATTTTTAAAGCTTATTTTGAAACAGTTCCTACCTCCCAACATATCTGTAAATTCCTAGCAACACTTTCCTATCTACACTTGTCATTTCATCAGCACTACGTTTAATTTACTGCCAACATCCTTCTGCACAAAGTACGCTGATCTTGTGAGTTATAAGCGAAAAAAGAAAAAAATGGAGGGAGTATGAGACGATCACTAAATAAGCCCGACACAAATTAACATACTCTGAAAGAGACATGGATAATAAAAAACATGGACAATACAACAAATGATAAGACCTCAAACTTGGGTAATTAAATCTTTATTCCTATGAGTTGGTTAATGCAGCAACGAACTCAATAAATATATTACCAATAATGCAAATTCAATAGTGATATCAATAAGAACAAAAAAGGACACCAAACGACGTCCGACCTCGTCTATCTAACCGACCCCGTCGAAATACATCTATTGAAATGATTTTGGTGCTCAGGACCCTCTTCTTCCTCAAATAGAGAGATCTCGGCATAGCTCTCAGTTTTCTGGCACATCACAATTACCGCCTTTACTAGAGCACATAGACACAATGGACGCATAACTTTAGCTTACATTGCACGACATATCCACACATACAACATGTTATACCCAACGGATTACAATATCAAATTAATCAAATTAACAACAAAGGAATTACTGATTCACTACATCTCCTCGCGATTTCAGCAACAATCATAATAAAACATTGAGAACGCGGTATAATACTTAGTAAACCGCGCAGACGATTCATTTTAATGCAATCTATTCCTGGAAATATTAAGTACTTCTGGTTTTTTATTCCAAATATTTCGTTTAAAAGGCATCGAAGCAGTCCTTTTGGGGGTCTTACGTTCAAAATCATCAGAATCCACTGGCTTCATACGTATTAAAAATGTTTGTTAAGCAAAAAATTATTGATTTGAATACGTGGATTACAACTATTCAAATTTATTAGAAAAATATAAGAAATCAACAAAGTTGAAGCCTGTTGCCAAATCCTTTATATTTAATTTCTGAGAAAACTTTAATCCATTTACTCGATCTGTTTGCCAGTATTTTGATAACATGCATAAAAGAAGCAGTAAAAAATGACGAAATAAATGAGCTAGGAATCCCCGGTTACCACCCACCAACCTTCCAAATAAGTCAAAAAAATCAATGATATTAAAAAGCACTGTTCTAAAGAAAAGGAACTGATAATAATGAGGAAGAAGGTGAACGAAATTTCGGAATTACTGTGAAGGGAACTAAATGTTGGACAACCAACGCTTTTATCAAAAAACAGTGCATTCTATATTTCAGGAAAAAGTTACAAGAAAATGATTTAATAAGAAATAATTTAATAAGAAAATAGTTTTTTATGAGAAGCCTATTAAGAAGATTTAATGAAACAATAATGTAAAGAAACGAAAGAACAAAAATCGTTCTAAACTAGGATTAATCGAATCGACAATAAAAAGTGATGATTGTTATGCTGATGCATAATATTAGCACTCCACATGTTCTATTCCATTAAAACCATACTAGTTGTATACATTTAAAAAATTAACATCAGAAACAAGTTATAATAAACACATCAAGATTCGAAGCACACAATTAAAATTAAAATGCAATAAATGAAACGAATAAATGGCAGTAAAGTGTACAGTAGTGGATTACCTTTTGCTAATTTAATATTTTTCTATTGGTACGTAGGTCTTCTAAAATGTTTCTTGCACAATACTGGATTCAAAAAATAATACACTTCCCATTCTGGCTTGTTAACCACGATCCGTTTATTCAGGATGAAACTGATATACATATATATATATATATATAACTGATATGAATAAGAACAAATTTTAAACCCTAAGATTGTCCAAGAAATGTTTGAGAACTTTCCTCCTTTTCTTAACAAACAGAAATTGAATAGCTTCTAGTTTCAAAATGTCGAAAACCGGCCCGTTTGTGGTGGCATGATTTATTTCCCAAAACGCCATTTTCTTCTGGAATTGAATAAAGCCACCAATTCATCACTGCCTATAGACACTAGAAAGTTTAGAACAAACATCTCCAGTGAAAGTCCCTAACTTACATTTTGATTTCACAGAAAAGTTTGTAAGTGTAAAGCTCGTCCTCGTACAGAAAAAAAGTAATAGGCACTATTTTGAACTTCTGCCTATTAAATAACCCTAAGGAACTCATGCAATGCTATGCGAAGACAGAGTGACATTCCGTGCGCAACATGTTACATTAGAGAATTTGACTGGATTGATAGAACTATTTCGTTCCAAAATCTGGTTTTTGTCAAAGTACATTTGTTAATATGAGATCTGAACATCTGACAGAATTCATGGGTAAAATGAAATGCAAAACGAATCATATGACAAGCTAGATGGTAATCGGCTAAGTACTGCCATAGCTATCGTTGGTGATTCTGTAACATATTTCGAATGCCTGTCCCAATGTTATTATTATTTCAGTTGCTACATCCTGTAAAGAAGCTTTCCAAAGATGTATCTGATTTCATACAATAAAGGAAATATATGCCATCTCTAAACTAGTTTTTTTCCTAACTTTATATATCATCTCAAAACTAGTTTTCGATTAGAAATGGATAGATTTTGAGATCAAGTATATTTCATACTCAAGAAATATGATACTAATACTTTGCACAAAATCAGAAACCGTCACAACTTACGGCAGTTAAGACGCAAAATACATGGCAGAAATGACGATCTCCATCTTGCGATATATAAGCAAAACAGTTCAGATCCCTTTCATCTTGACACACTATCTGTATCTGTGCTATTTCATGCTCGACAGTAAGTTGCTGAAAAAGTAACATGCCAGAACTACTCATAAAAATACTGTTTTAAACTAACTAATCAGTCTTCCGTTTTAAAGAACTTATTTAATAAATCCGTAAATAAACGATTAAAAACCTTTGTGATAGCATCAAGCACTCGAACACCCGACACTGAGATTTCCAGTAAAACATGAGGGACTTTGGCTATTTCACGAATACCTCTCTAAAAAAAATACACTTCACCAAAAATTGCTGGAAAGAAATGAAAATGAAATTTCTGCTTTACATTCAAGAAAGGCATATATGTGAGTATATCTTACTTTCAACTTAATCATAGCTCTTCGAGAATCCTCTGTCTCCTCAACATTCGATATTTCCATTGATCCAAGATAATGAGCTGAATACGAAATGCAGCTCTCAATAAGTGTACTAGATGAATGCTGCCATTCAGTTTGACGTCCCCCAACAATCGCTGAATGAGGTATTTGGGTACTTGATGATGACTGCACCGTACTCCTAAACTTTCATCACTAGATGCAATTCATTGGATTTTTTTTTAATAAAATTCACCATGTATTTCAATTTGATCATGTTTTTAAAATGCAATTCATTATGTTTTTTCTTTCTCTTTTATAAAATGAAAAAAATAATACCCTAGAAACTTTTTTCTCAGAAAGCTATGAAGCAAAAGAAACCACCTGCTCTCCTGTCCACTGTCTGTTTCATCTTCTTGCGCTGCTGCTGCTGCTCGTTCTGCTGCCTTTTGACGTCGCTCTTCCTTTGCTTTCTTTAGAGAATTTAAAATTCGTTTTTGATGACCAAGTTTTGTGATACCAAGAATCTGAAAATAATGCTTACTAAGAAGAAAAGAAACCAAAACGCATGAAAATGTCGTCTTGAAATCTTACAGGGAGCAAGTCACTCACTTTCAAATGTTTCCGCGTTGAATCGACTGCAAAAACGATCAGCATTGATGTCAACCCGCCACTTACGAAATGACCGAGATAATCTTCTAAGTCCAGTGAATGCAACCAGTCCGAAACATATGCAAATGAATCTGAAGAAAATCCTGATAATTCAGATTAACAAACTCAAGGATTAGTAGCTCCTCGAGGGTAAATTTAGCAATGAGTGGTTTCGAAATTTTAAAACTAACTTGCACTTGGGATGGAAACATTTGGGTAATTTTCTAGATACATCCCGATTTGGTGTTGAGTTGACTTATCAAACCCAATTTCTTGCATAGCAACACGATCGAGTGTCGACTGCTGCAAATAACAGCCGATGGATGTTGAGGAATGCAAATCAAAGAAAATTTTTTGGTTTCAAAAAGGAGTCCTCTAAATAAAATCTCTATTTGCTTTCAAAAATAAGAGCACATACCATATGAGTGACATTGTCAAAACCATTGCTTTCGAGGATTTCCGCTATTTCATTTGCTCTGGGATTAGGTATCCCAACACACACGTTTAGCCATTCAGCAACAGCATTCATCCCTCGCTGCAAGGAAAAATGCTGCGTAATTTAGCAAAAGTAGCAGTAAGTCTTTTTTAAAAACTTAAGGTTTAGTTTATTGCAAATCCCTAGACTGTTTAGAGAAGCTTCCACTGTTTTGATGAGAGAAGATAGTGTATTATTGCCTTCAGTCGCACGACTTCACATTTTTGGTTTGAATTACGTAACTGTCTTACTTTATGGCATTAATACAACTTCAGCCGACTCTTACGAAATGGAATCCTATCATTGGATTTTATCAGCTACTCATCAGTTAACTTTTCATAATTTCAAGGTTGAAATAAAACATCTACGTAGTCTTCCAAAAGTTAAAGTGGCGGTAAGTGATTATTTGTAATTAATGACCTTCAATACTGACCAGTTGTTTATATCTTTTGTCAGCATCAAATCCAAGTGAATGTCTGTTTTGCACTGCTTGTGGTCCATTTAACTGCAATGTTAATGCATGAGATCTCCGATCTCTGAGGTAAACGGCCACTTTTGGTTCATAATGAGCTGTAAACACCGATTCCCGACAAATTGCGCCACCAAATGATTCCATTATTTCACTGATCTGATAGTATATTCTTTAACATTCTTTAACACTCTTTAACAAGAGTCATAACCGACTACTTTTTATTGTTCCACAGTTATTTCTTGACAACCTCACATATAGCATAGATTTCCAAGAAAGAAGTGTAAAACTATCATAGTTTAGAAAACGAAAATTTATTCCCACAATTGAATTATAGCTGAGAAATTTACTTTCTTCCATTCGATACTTTCATCCAAGGAACTATGCCTGGTTGAAACGTTGTCATTTTGTGCAAATGATGCCTGTATACTGCTGTTTAGTTCGTCCCTATGTTGCTCGCCATCGCTGGAGATAGATAATCCACACATGTCTAAGAACAAAGGGCTGAAGCGTAAGAAAGAAAAGCAAAGCTGCTTTTGGTATCTGTATTTATAAAGATGCATATTCACCTCTTCCTGAAATTTTGCTAAGAACTTAATTTTGATTATGAGTGCTCACCCCTACTTGTGCTACCATGTGTTGGTATTGAAGACGCAGTTCGCAAGCGTACCTCCACAGAAGAAAATGATTGATCATCCATGCTGGAACAGCTTAAATTATAAAAACATTTCGGTTTTAGCGTTGGAAAAAATTTGGCTAGAAATAAAATTTCACCTGGATTGCTTGTAAAGCTGACTGCGTTCCTGCGACGGAGAAATTACTGATGGCGGTGTTGAAGAGACATGGGAGATTATCGGTAGGGAGCATGACGATGCCAAAGTGCAATCTGTCCCCACTGAAATACAGATTTATTTTGTTCGGGTGAGTGAATAACGAAAATTCCCAACATGATAGGCTTCATTAAAAGCAGTAGGAACCTGTTGACGATGGTGATATTGTGTCCTTCTGCGTGTGCTGTGATCTTTTGCTTACAGTGGGAGATTGTGACAATTGCTGTCTAGCGTTATCCTAAAAATCGAAATCTTTTTTAATTGAAAAATATTAAATATCACGAATCAAAACAAACTTCGTCACAAGGATATTTCAAACCTGACTGCAAAGGAAATGATGAATGCGAGATGCAGTAGTTTCAGGACTCGGAAGATGGTCAAGGTCAGATTGGCCGTCAACATTGTTCGCTCCATTTTCATTTTCTGCTGTTATGACTTCCACACAACTTGCCAGTGCAGTCTAAAGTAACTAGGTGCTAATGCAAAAAAAGCCTCGAATAGAAAAAAAAACTATAATAAAGATTTTGGAAAATATTCCGCACATATTAAACAAATACCTTCATCGACCAATTTGAATTAAAAGCAGCTGTCGCAGAACTACGATCTGGTACAGAATAATCGTCATTTAAGAGACGTGAATGCCTTCTCCGTTTACTCTAAAACAAGATTCATTTTAATCTTGATAGAATTTCCTGCATTTGTTACTGTTCTAAAAAGGGATGAATATCAGGTCAGAAAAACTCCCCGTGCTTTCATTCGCTTCTGACTAAAACTGAAACTTGCTTCAATTATAATGATGTACAGTCGATGAGGCATGATCTCGCAAATATTAAGTTTTAAATGGATATAGGCTATTTATTACTAAACTTACTTCTTCCATAAGATACCTTTCCGGGGAATTTTGTATTGACAGAATGCTGGCTGAAGCTGACATAGAAACCTCTTCAGGGAGTGCTAATGGTGCACGGCCTTGAGTTAACGAAGCTGTCCCGGATGGAACACTGCTGCTTTGTTCTCCAGGAGATAAGGCTAAAAATCCTATCGAATGATATAACTCACTGTCAAAATAAGGTTTGCATATAGAATTTTTGATGATTAGAAGAATCACTAAAATAGTATAGTTTCGCCCCAACTAATTTGAACTTTAAAAATGAAAAATTGTCTTCAGACAGTAGAAAAAAAACATACAACGTTCAAGTGTTGAGCAGGCGAAAGTGATGATGGATGCTGGGCTTTCTGTTCGATGGGAAGGAGAGCTTGGAGGGCTATAGTTAACAACAAGACCACTGTCCTTATCCACATTAGCTTCATGTGCTTTAGTTTTCCGAGGAGCCGGTTCAGGCTTCAAGGTTTCCTCTAGTAAGAGAAAACACTGACGACCGGGTTTCACTAAAAATAAGTGGATGAATTCCAGTTTCTAATGTACTTCAAGTCTGATTCGTAGTAAATGCAAAAACGCGAACTTTTAAAACTAATTACATGTAGTTGCAATGTTATTAAATATGTGGTTTCTTACCAGGTGGCATAGTCTGTATACCATCACTTCTAACACTACAAGATGGTGTACCAATATTTTCACAGCCACCCTCATGTACAGATTTAGCTTCGCAGGAATGCTGCCAACGTCGATGTCCTGAGGACAGATTTCACTATTCATTCAACACACTACTAAACCAACAAGGAATACATTTTTGCTTTCTCGCCAAAATTATCGGGTATACTCAGGAGAAGATATGAAAAACTATCACATATTTAAGCTAAATTTTCTGCCCTGGAAAATTTGAGAAAGTATGGGAAAAAATCCAAATCAATGAAAATTTACCAGGTGGTGGAGCATTATCGTAAACGACGAGATTACGTGGCACATTGTCATAGCCCAGTAGAGGATGTGGTGGACTTGTCACATTATCATATGGAACAACATGCTGTGATCGCCAAGCATCATACGAAAGTGGAGCCTGGTATGAGCATGCTACTGCTGAATCTAGAATAAAACAATTATTGCAAAAAAAACTACAAAAGCAAAAGATAAATCCTGTCCAAGTAGAGTGAGGAAAGTGGAGATACGATGCTGAGACAGACCTTCCACTAAAACTGATCAGCTGAAATCAATTTTTCACATAATTTTAGTGCAAAATTTATTTCTTTTAGTGTGCGCGTGACAAAAACCAGTCCTTATTCAAAATATTTTCCTAAGTTTTGGTTTTCTAAATGCTAACAACGAAGCAGTTTTTGTACCTGGATTAAGTGATGTTTGACCAAGTCCCATCCTTGGTAAAAGAACGCCATTTCTCTGAAGTGTATGTCTATACCTATGACTCGGCAGTATGATGGCAAACCGAGATACGTTATTTTCTACACTAAAACCTTCTGCTTGACCTGGTGATGGCTGCGAACTGAAATACACCAGTGCAGAATACAAACAACCAAGCATAAAAGCATTACATAATGAGAATTTTCAACAAATGACCAGAACAAAAATATTTCAAGAAAAAAAAACTTTACTCAGACTCGCTCCCAGATGATTCCACACGAGTGGCCGACGAAGGTAGGGTTGAACTATCATCCAGATCGCGTTCATGTGCAATCACATCAGCCTGAAAAGTGGTTCAGAATTTTTAATTTTCGAATAATTGCAAAAAGTTTTAGAATTGCTAACATTAAAAAAAATACCACTATCGATGGTGGTGGATAACACGTGCCAATCTCCGAAGTGCTATTAGTCGAACTATGCTGTGCGTGATTTCGAGATGCTTGAAGCCTGGCTGAAGCACAGAAATATCTTTTTTGGAAAAAGATTTTGGCTTCTGAAAAAGTCATTTGCTACTTCGATTTTACTTCCAAATAATACCTGTAGATGATTCCGGTATCGGTTTCCAAACAACATCTTTTGGGTTAGCACCATACTTCGAACAAAAAGGTAAATTTAAGTAAACTGAATAATTCTCTGCAGTCATTTTGTCATCTTGACGATTCTTACATTTTTGTATGTAAGCTATAAAATATCAGCAGTCAATGCACATTAAGCATGATAGTATGATAAGTCTCAAGAAACCACCTAGAAACAGAGAACCAAAAAGAACCTTCAATGAGCTTGCGACATTCTGACCACCCTTCTCGGCTTTGTATCACTTGTGTAAGATCTGAAGCTTTTTCGTTTTCATGCTCTGCCAAAGTTTCCAATACAGTACGTCCTTGTCCATCACGCGTATCAACATTGATGCCTGTAACCTTAGGACATACAGAAAAATTGTAGAATAGGTAAAATTATTACTATCTGAATGAACTACGCTATACAAAAAACACCAAAAAAGATTCTATTCAGAAAGTTCTAACAAAAAAGAATAAGCGATATATGATTAACCTTGTTCAAGCAGTAACTTAACAGCATCAACCTTCCCAAACAATGCTGCGACATGTAACGCACTACCTTCTTCGGTAACATAGTCAAGGTCAAAACCGGAATGACACAGTATTTGAAGACAGTCAATATGACCGTGACGAGCAGCTGCATGTAATGGATATACCACTTGAGCTAAATGTCGTGACCTTCCTGGATCTGTGGTAATGCACTCTGATGCACTCTAAAGAGAGTTCACTTAGAAAAATCCAAAAAATATTAGTCAACTCAAGTTATAATACTAATATTTCCAAACGAAAATCTAACTTGCAGTGCTAATTCTGGACAATTACTGATGAGTAAGCGACACACGTTAGCTTTTCCAAGTCTTGCAGCTACATCTAAAGCTGTTTCAGCACGTGCATTCCTCGCCCTGGCATCTGCATGCTTCTGAAAAGTATCTTTATGATATAAGATTTTATTTCACCTAGTTTTCAAAAAGAAAAAAGCATTTTAGTTGATAGGTTTACTGTTCAGATCAATGAATTTCAAATTAAAACATACAGCAAGCAGAACAGTGACGACTTTGCCGTGGCCATGTTGTGCTGACAGATGCAGAGGCGATTCTTTGGCGTTATTTACCGCATCAACAGTATTCGGTTCAGCATTAATTAAAGTCTGAAATATATGTAAATGCGAAAGTTAGGATTTAAATTCTGATGTATTCCAGATGCTTACCAGGTTGGAGTACCATTAATGCTGATTACCTGTATAACTTCAACGTGGCCATTCCATGCTGCTAAGTGTATTGGCAAACATCCTCGCCGATCTTTTATTCGTGCCATTTGTGAATCAACATTCAGCAAAATTTTAACTACCTTGAAGAAATTGGATTTGCAAAAGACAATGTTGTAGTGAATTAAGATGAAGCGTTACATATAGGAAGTTAAGAGATGGATTAATTGTACCTCCTTATGGCCCAGCAAAGCGGCAAGATGTAGCACTGTATAACCGTTCGACGGATCTACAATCGAACATAGCCAAGCTGAATGTGATGATGTCGATGCACGCAAAAAGCTATAACATTTTGGAGGAGCTATTACTGTGCTTAAAACTCTTTACATTCGAATCTTTCTGTTACCATTTACTTCATTCGATTCTATCGAATCGATAATAAGATTCTCAACTATATTACAAATTCCTCATTCAACATTAACATTTGAAAATTAAAAAAAAAAAAAAAAAGAAAACCAAAGAAAGAAAAAATAATGAAAATTTACTTCAGTGGTGTCCGTGGCCGCTTGCTGCGTCTGCTTAATAGCCATGTCTGCACCTTCTGCGCATCTCCCCGTCTCACCGCTTCAAAAAGTTCCTGTAAGCAGTACCCCAATCAAAAATAATGATGCACACATACGCTGTAACATTACGTGTTTTCTTTATATTTGAATATCGGATTACGCATGCACATAATACTAAAAATGGAACTACGAAGTCTTTCCAAGTTCTCGTCAATAAAAAAGCAGTTCATCTGCACACAGTTCTTTCTGTCTTGAAAAAAGAACTTACCTGCTGAACAGAGTTAAGTTCTTTTGGTCCCATCGTTGCATGACGATAGAGCTCTTCGAAATCATCGAAAAAATACACATTTATGACTCATCCTGGCACAATCACGTCATCTATGTCGCAGTGCTGCCATTATTAAAATAAGATGTAAATTTTAAAAAAGCATGAAAGACAAAAAATTCACAAGGATTTCACAATGATCCACCAGTTTTAATTTACAATACATCGAGCTGTAAAAAAAAAACCTCATCAATCTTTCGGCAGCTGAGTTTTGCCGGTAAATCACAACCACATATTTAGCTAGCAACGAAATTATGAAACTTCCACTAAAATTCTTATCATTTCTTTTACATGTCTTGTAGAAGCTCCAGTAGTGTATTAAACTGTTTTATAATCAAATTCAAAAAAAACAGATTTGGTAGAAAACAAGTTCAAGCTTTTCGACAACTTCTGAAAGGAATATCAATATCAAACGAGGTTAGAAAAGAAAATCTCTGAGCAATTCTAAATGACATAGAAATTATTCAGGAAAAGTAATATTGGAAAAAGCGAAAGTTTTATTTGCCTTATAAATTTTAAATGAGACGACGTTTTTTCGGTAGTAGATTACAGTCATGTGCCTTAACCAGATGAAATAAAGGACTCCGGAACTCAGCTGACCAATTTGGAATCCAGGAAGTAATCCTCGTCAAGCTGGAACTCAAGAAGTAGAAAAAAAAAGAGCTACAACAATGCATCAAGGCTGTGCTGCGGTGTATGATCAACGAATCTTACCCAAGAAACCTTCCCGGCCAGTTCGATAAAAAATTTCCAACTACCGAAAAATTACTCAATGGAAATAAATCTGTTTAGTTGTAGGTGGAAATTCTCGCCGCCTCATTTCGGTAATAGCCAAAGTAGTCTTGAGGGAAAAACACTTCCCCTTGATCTACCCGAAAGGAGGATGAATATGCGAATGAAGGATCGGGAAAGAGCGAAGGAAGATAGCTCAGGGAAGAGGAGCAAAGCAGATGTAAGACGTGAAAAAAAAAGAAATTACTTTAATGTCAGCACGAAAAGAAGCACGTCGAATTTTAAAAATCATGCAAATTACGGCCTGAAACTTTTTCTCCACAACTCAGAATCAGTTCCAATCATAAAGCTAGTAAATCCTTCCTCGTTTAAATGCCAGCAACAATAATTTAAATACCCGAAACGTATGCAAGGGAGCGCAACCAAATTTGTAAAAGATATATCTTCGAAATCCCAAGCAAAGTGACAATGAATTCTGGATTTTGAATGTGCCAAAGGTCAAGCGAAGTTATCCTGTGTCCCAATTTATGAACAATGAAATAGATCGACTTGTCAAAAGCTAAATTTCTGCCAGATTCAGTCAAATCCTGTTCATTCAGTTATCGTCTTCTCGCAAAAATACATTTGGTGGATTGTTAACTGCTCGGTTGTATGGGATTATTATGCAAGTTTAAACTTCACAGCAGCACCAACTAATTTCTGAAGTACCACACTAGCGTCAATTACCGTTTAACCTTGAAATCTGCATGCAATATAGGAACTAAACACCTCGCACTTCTGTTCCCAATTCCAAATTTGTTACAAAACTGCTCGAAAACGGAAACAATACCGATCGATTGGGGAAAGTTGTCCGTGGCAGTTGCCTGTGTACAAATGTATATATATGTGTGTATGTATATATATATATATATATATATGTGTGTGTGTGTGTGTGTGTATGTCCATGTGCGTGTGTGTGTGTGTGTATGTGTGGGTGTGCGTGTCTGTGTGTCTGTCTACCTATTGCCGTGTTGTATGGTGCTGACAGCAGGGTCATTTAACTTCAAAAGACGATACATTGGTTGGCTGGTGAATCGTGTAAAGCAGTGCTGTCCACAGCTGTTGCGCTGTTGTGGTATGTAAATGCAGGTCATTAGGGTGGAGGAAACATATGGTATTCCAAATGATAGAGAACGAAGTGCAAGTTCATACCTTGCAATTTGATTATAATTATTTGAAATTTCAGTAATTCCAAGTATCGAAAATTGAAAAAGATCAGAACAGACGTAATGGTTCAAACAAATCTCGTAATTCTCCACCAGTATATTTAGCTTTGAAAAATCATTGTGGATAAGCAATATCTGTGAGCTTTCCGTTCATATGCAAAAGTTACGAAAAGAGAAAGAATCGAAATAGGATTTCGCGGAAGATAAACAAAGGTAACAGACTGCAGAGCAAACGGAACTTTCGTCGAAGAGTGCGCCTGCTACACAATAGCTGCATGAAAAGATGAGTTCCCCTACACTCATCCATATTTTATATTTCCTAATGTTTTTCCTCTTCATTGGAAAACTAAGACCAAACTTCAACTCAACTATAGCATTTTTCACTGGCTTAAACAACCTCGGCAATTTTTGAGTTTCGCAAAAAACACAATATTACTGAGCTAAGCATTGGACAGACAACGACGGTTTCGCTTTTAGGAACTGCCCTCGATGGATTTTTTGATGATTGTTTTTGTCGTCCAGTCCATTCTCAAAGAAAGGATTAGGCCAATGGGAGTGTGCCACGGAATGCCACAATGTGTAACTTAGATTGAGAGAACAAAGCAAACTACTCCCTTACTACTGCTGATCTCTCGAACATTTTTAACAATTCACATAAGTACGATTAGGCGCCAAAATAACGCCGATTGAAAGCTATAATTAAAGCATAACAAATCTGCAAAAATCTCTTATTATGCGCAACTATTTTAAGTGCATAAACTTAATTCATATTATTTTACTTTTTTATTTCTTTCGTAAAGAATTGTAGGTGACGTTGTTTACGATTTTACTGTATGGTGATGGCATCCTCAATTTTTGATGCTTGAAATTTATACAAAACAAGAAAAAGTCAATAAGTCTGTGACCTAAATGATGCTGAAAATGATGGAAGAGATGAAGGAAAACTGAAAACATGGAAATGCCAATTGCAATTGAAATTTGATTTGTGTTACACCTTTACTATCAACAAAATTCATAGCAAAAAGCTTAGAATTGATGAGGAATGGAACAAAGTTATGTAAAGAACACATATACTTTTCTCTTAGGCAATATTAAGAATTTGCAGTCAACGACTACTTACATCTTTATTGACAATGAATTAGCTGAATTTTAACTACTACTACGTTTTTTGGTAAAAAAAAAAACTTTGGTTAGATCAAATCAACTTCTACCTAAAAAAGCAAAGAAAAAAAGAAGGAGAAGGAACATAAGGCAGTGTTTTCTATCTCAATTTTATCAACTGAATATAATGAAAGAAAAGAAAAAACAATACTACTAAAAGACATTTGGTTTTATTTTAATATTATTAGTGACAGAGAATATTCTCAAATTCCTTATATTTAGAATCTTTTTATTTATTGTTTTAAAGTTATCTAGTGAAGTGTTTAGTAATAATGAATATCTTTCATGAAAAAAGCAAACTAATCAAATGTGAGTACGACATAAAGGATGGAACTAGCAACTTTCAAGAAACGTATTTGCACACACGTCTAGTTTGAATGATGGATGAAATCAGAGCATTCCAAAACGAAAACCCCTTGTCATTTAAGAATTCTAAACTTTTTCTTTCAAAACAGATATTCTATAGGATATGCATGACAGCATATAAACAACTTCAAACCAAATGGCCATCATCCAAACCAATAAATGCTGGTAAAAAAGGAGGAAATATATCATACATAACAGCAGGGCTCTTTTTAAATTTCCCTTTTTTTTTGTACTTCTCTGTGGTCTTTCTTTAACGTCACTTTCACCTATTTATGACAATACTGTGTTTTTTAGAGTAAGATGCCATTTGACCTTCAGGAAAAAGTACTTTTTGCTGTTATTCTTTTCCATTTAATGAGCAAGCTTAAATCTATTGATTTCATTGTCCAATGAAACTTGGTATACTACTCGAAAAAGTCCTGAATTTAAATGAATAAGAATGGCCTTGTTTAGTGAACTATCAGTCTGTGTAACAGTTTTAAATACCATAAGCATGAAAGATTGATAAATTCGACAAACTGGATTCAAGGTATGATTTACAGGAAGGTTTAAAAGCTAAACTAATGAATATCAGTGATTGCTGACCGGTTTTCGTCATTAGCTTTACCGAGCCTAACATTGGGTTTGAAGAGTTCTGGTTATATTCTTGATATTCGAAAACCTATCAGATATTTCAGTAGTAGCAATTATTCAGCAGTCTTAAACCTGAATGAGAAGACAAACAAATGATAAAACGGAAGGAACTTACAAAATCATGACAAAATATAACATGATTAGACAAAAGTTTATAAAATAGTTGCTGAAAGCGATGACTGCTTTTAAAGTAGATTAGTTAACAAGAAGATAAGAGGTGGCTGATGTCACTTCCACTAAATTATACAATGGAAGAAAGCACTCGAAGGATATTGACGATGTTATTGCTCACTTATCCATCACTGCTGCTGCCAGTTCGTTTTATTCCAAAGCTTTCCTGCTCTCTAATAATAGCTTCTAGGGATAGGAGAAAGGAAGTTCTGTGCCCCTTTATGACCTGAATGAGTGCCCGTAAAAAGTGACAGCTTGTATTGAAGAGAAAAGTTGATGACGTTACAAAATAATAGGGCCAAGATCGGAAATGGAAAGGAAATGAAGGAATTAATTCGCTGTCTTAATTATGTCGCCTTCCTTTCCTTTCCAATGCATCACAACGTTAAATACTATTTTTCTTTAATGGCACTGGCCAAACGTATGGATTTGGAAATTTTAACGAGACAACCTTAAAAATTTGCATTCAGAATTTGTCTCTATTCTTTTTTCCTTCTTTTTCCATACGACGGTTGTCAGTCCAAGGTGTTTGTTATTTGCTGTTGGTTCAGTTCTCGAACAGGTCACAAATACATCTTTCAACTTATAACTATTTCATCTATTTAAATAAAAAAAGCACAATCGAAAATAAATTTTTTTCCCAGTATTCTAGATTTTTTCTCCAGCATAATTATAAATGTATGCAGTGGTTCAGACGAAGACACCGTTATACATAAAAAAGAATATGAAGGAAATTTAAATTAAGAGCACAAAGAAAGTGTTGTAAATGAAAAATAATATGGTAGAAAATACTTCATTGATCAAAGATATGCTTAACTAACTTTTTGTTTCAAATCCAGTAACAGAAATGAAATGTTTCTGAAAGATTTTTTTCCAGATAGGGGTATCGCTGTAGTAATTTCTACGATACAAAAACTAGCAAACTTTAAGCAAAACTGAAATATTTACATGAATTGATAGCGATCATAGATGGATAAAATTTGTGTTTAAATTTTGACAGAGCCATTCCTGGAATGACTTTATTTCGCACTGACTTTATTCGCAGGATTTGGTGATTCGAGAATCTGTTACTGGTTCTCCAAAGCAGCAAGAACGAATAGTTGGTCATTTCAAGAGTTTGAACGAATAAACATTCTCAAATTATCCATGTTGAATGACTGGCACTCTGATTTGAATTCAATTTGCTGTAACCGAGTTATGATAATCCTTACACTTGAAAAAAGACCTCTATAGGTAAAAATTGGACGATATCAATAAATGGTACGAAACAGCTAAAAAAACTAGACGGATAGAACCGGAGTTAAATGTCCGTCAATTGCAAGAAGTTTCATTTCAGCTGATAAAATCACTAAAGTCAGAAATAAATCAAGAAAGCTAATGATAACAAAAACTGATGCAAGAAATGAAACAGAACGGAAATAATCATCATAGCAAAGATAACCTCGAGTGAACAACAAAAAATAAAAGGCCGATCTTCCGGAACAGATAAACAATTTTAAGGCAAGCCTTACAACTTTCGATCTTCATATTATTGAAATGCACAAAGAAGTAGGCGCTTATGGTACTATACCAATGCAAACAACTCGACGTTTCGTCGTAATCAATCGTGTTGAGTATACTTAGAATTTTTTTTCCCACAACATCTGTCGTATAATCAGATGCTAAACACCACCCTTCTTTTTTTTCTTTCTTTTGATTATGAGTGGTTGGCTATTTGTTGATATTAACCGATTATCTATGATCTTGTTTTCAAGCATTCATTGAATACAAGATTGATCTGGTCTTGCAGATGTGAGATATGAAGACGAAGAAATGGTAAGGAAGGCTTTATAAATTTCAGAAATTACAAAATAAGAACAACAAATGAAATTAATAGTACCATCTACTAATCACAAAAATTTCACTCGAAATTTTTGTTTGGAATTTTTGTATAAACAAATTTTATTTAGAATTTTTAACTCATACAACAATGTCATATGGTATATTTACTTGTTAATGCAATTGTAGAGAAAATCAATAATTCATATCGACTGGGTGCAGCGAAAGTTTAGCAATGCAAAGTACTGATTCCGATAACACTGAAATTGGTCTGACATATTTTTTCACAGTATTGGCTTAGGCCATTTAAGCAAATTACAATTTTTCTCTTTTTTTTTTTGCAAAGTTTAAGTCAATTAAATGTGCTACTGGAATAGTTTTCTTAATCAAATATAATTGTTATGAAAAACTGAAAATACTACTTAGAAGTATTTAATAAAACTAGAAGTAGAATATTTTTGGAAATTTAATCGTTTCATTTTTGAATTTACTTCATTTTTCCTTGCCCTAATTAATTAAAATCATCCATTTTATCAGCAAGTATCCATTTCCACTGAATGTTCTCCTCCCACACTTCAGTATTCAGGGTTAGTAAAGTTAGACACTGAAATCATTCAAATCAAATCAGTGTGTTCTAATAATTATATCGTTGAAGTTTAATGCAAAGAATTGAGCAGTTATAGCAAACGGAGTCAAAAGTATTTTTAATAAAATTTCTCGCACATTGAATTTTAATTTTAGGATCACTGTACCAATTAAATTTTTATTTATATCATTTAAAAAGAAAGTATCCTGCAATCTA